CTCCTGGGGCTTTTTGGCCGGTGCAGGCGCCCGTTAGCAAAACGTCTAAAAAAAAAAAAAAAAAAGAAGAAAAGTAAAAAAGAAAAAAGATATTAAAAATCTTGCATCAGACTGAAAGATTAACATAGTTTTTTTTATGTAAATAATTTATGAAAACTTGATTGAAAAGATGCTCTAGGCTGTGTATAGTCAGCACCCTTATCTCTTCCCCCTGTACATAGGTAAGTGGAATTCGTGGTAATTTACGATGATACTATTCTTAAACCAATTACTGTGTAATATCGTTTACTCTGTGTAACTTAGATGCTAAGACTAATTAGAAAAAAATAATAAATATATGATGTTAACAATATTGAAACATTTGAAAATATTGAAATAATTTAAATTGTGTACCTTCTCCATTCTCCTCCATTCCCCTCTTGAGATTTTGGACATACACGCGCACGTGCCCAGCATGATTTTTAAGCCACTGGGTCTGACAGGGAACCAGCAGTTAGTGTAATGGCTATGTCGCTGGACTCCCATGTAGTCGACCACGGTTCACGTCCTGGACCCAGTGGCTTAAAACTCACGCCGGGCGCATGTGCATATGTGCCCAAGATCCCGAGAGGAGAATGGAGGAGAAGGGATTGCGGCGTGACCATCCCCCTGGGGGAGGATTTCTCGCTTTCTGTCTCTATGTCTCTCTCTGTCTGGCTAATGCACGTGCCCTAAAGGGAAAATCTCTCCAAAAAATAAATAAATAAAAATTGAAAAAAAAAAAAAGCCACTGGGTCTTGGACTCCTACAGCTGTCAGTCATGTGGGAGGAGTCCAGCACCTTAACCACTACACAGGCCCCCAGCTTGACAATACTTGAAGAAGATTTTCATAGATATTTTATAAGAAAAACATTTATTATTTTACTTTTTTTTTTTTTTGGAGAGATTTTCGCTATAGGGCGACTTTTTAGAGAATCTTACATGCTCTGTCAAAAAAGAAAAAAAAAGATGTCTACCTTAAGAAAAATGTGGAACTAGCTTTTAAGCAAAAAAATCAAATTTTAAAGAACTAGAGCTCTACAAGTAGTGCAGAAAAAATGAATTCAGAGTGTGAGAGGTATACAGATGTCTAAAAAGTCACCCAGAACACTTGAGCTGCGTTTCCTGCCAGTTAAGCTGTGTGCGCCATACTTCCCTTGAATTGGATGAGCACCAGGCCCTGCCCTCCGGTGCGTTCTCCCTTTCTCTCCCTTTCTCTGCCTGTTTCAGGTGATCACGTGCTCCCTCTGGCAAAGTTAAAAATATATTCGGACAAAACATGTATAGAACTGCCCGTCATAGTGGTACGCATAAAATCTAATACAGAAAGGAAAACTGCAAATGCTTCGTAAGTGGGGAAATACTCACGCAATGATGATATGTTTGTAAAATTAAATATTTGGCTAATATTTGCTGGGGAAATACCTTTAACTGGAAATACTAGTCTGAGTTCTAAATGTTCATCTATGAAAAGCTATTTAAAATTCTGACTTTATTTCATAACTAAAAGAAAGAACGAACAACAAAGGCCAACCAGCGTCTGGAGTCTCGGGCGTGTTGGCATTAAAACCTCACCAACCTGAGCAACAGGACCAGAGACCTGGACTAAGGACTGTCTCATCTCTCTCTCACACTTTCTTGTTTTTATTGCGTAGGATTCAGGATGTAGAGATGAGGAGACCTGAGGGATGAACTCAGCACCCAAGCAGCAGGGAAGTGTGGGGACCACTTCAGGAGGGTGCTCTGAAACGGAAGTGGGCATGCCCAAGCGTCCCTGAACACACACACACAGACACACACACACCACACACGGAAAGTGTCGTTTTTCCTCTCTTGTAGTTTATCTAGGATTTGAGTAAAAGGAGTGCTGTGCATTGAAAGAAAAGCTTATTTAGAACGTCAGCATGTAAAAGAGAGAAAAGCAGATCCGGCTGGGGAAGGTGTAGGGAGCAGTTTCAGGGGTGCCCAGAAGGCACGGTACAAACAGCAGCGAGTCATGTGGTTATTGTTGCTTGTTTGTGTGATTCTCTGCATCCTACATCATAACTAATTTGGTAAGTGCCTATTTAGTAAATTATCGTGGTGGTTATTCAGCGATAAGGTCTTCAAAACAAAAAGCCAATAACAATGAGAAATAAATGAAGCGTTCTATGGTAACAAAGAAAATGATTAGAGACGATTTTGTGAATGTCCAATGATTCCCCTGGCAGGAGTCTACCTGTTCAAGTCATCTGTCCTTACAGTGGAAGGATTAGAGAGTCACTGCAAGAGAGTACCCACAACAATCCAGTGTAAACTAGTGATTTAAAGGGAAAAGAAAACGAACAAGCACATGAAATGCTCACCAACTATTCAGAGCAACCTAGAAAATAGATACTTTTCAAGTGATGGTGTTTCAAGACACTATGAAGATGGAGTTTAGTGACTATTTCATGTGCTGACTTCTTTTCACTTTCATATTTTAGTTCCATAGCTCTGAATGTTTAGATAGGTCATTTTCAGAGGACTCAGACTATTGGTCATTATTTTTTTTTCTTAGAAATTTGGTATGAAGTGGACCCAGCTTCAAAGCATAGTCAAGAAGCCCCTTGAAGACCCAGTCATGTGGTGCTCCTATAGTGCAGTGCTTTGGATGCTGGAAGCCATATGGAAGACCGGGGTTCAGCTCTTGGGTGGACTTGTACTCAGAGGGCATGCATGTGCCTGTAACCCTGTGACCCCAGCTGGCTGGGAATGCTCGGGGAGGACACTGAGGTGAGACCCCATTGAAAGTGCTTCTATTTCTCTTTCTCTCTCATGAAAATAATAAACTTTTTTTTTTAAAAGGTCCTTTGTATAAATTTTGTATAATTTCTATTGGATATATACATGGAAACCCTGGTTAAATATTTCAGCTGATTTCAACTCTCTTTAAGAAGTGAGCATCAAATGCCGGAGAAGAATTAACTATCAATCTATTTGAACGTGGAGAACAGGGGAGCATGTTGCATACGTAGTTGGAGCTCTGAGGTAGGTAGGTATGCAGTGAGGTAAGAGCTTGGCGCAGTGGCTTACTGGTCACTGTTGCTGCTCCCTGCTGTGAATCATGGTCTTGGTTGCTGTGATGTGGCATGCTGTCGGCTTGCCATTTTTATATTGCCCAGAAATAACTGAAAGTTCTTATTGCTCTTGGATGAAAATATGAACTGCATTTGAGAAGTCGGATCAGCACATGGAAAAGCTAAATATTTTTATTGTAATGATGATAACATGCAAAGTACTGTTCAAATGAATAGTACAGAATCTTAAATTGTAGAGATTATTTTTTAATATTGTTTCTCGCTGAAACAAATCTACTAGATTCTAAATGTCCCTTCATTCATCTTCCCGTATTCCCCATCTTCCTTTGGGTATTTGGAATTCTCCAGAAACCTAGTACTGCAAATTAAACACAAACAAGGGAGGAAAAAAAGGTACCAACTCCGCAAGTAATCCACTTACCATGTCTTCAAGTTTAGTGTTATATATCAGCATATCTGGGTATAAGTTACATTTATTCTTGGCAAAATAAAACTTGTAAATTCAAAATGAAAAGATATACATGAGGATACTAGGTGGAAATTGAGTAGCCCATCCCAAACAAGACTGTCAGGAGTTAACTGTAACTGGACTGGAAATAGATGTTAGTATCTTAAAACAAGAAATGGGAGAATTTAGAACTGATTGTAAATGTGAAAGTAAATAATTATGGAAATGTTTCTATTTCATATATCTCAAACTAATGAATCATAAATTTATTATTTCAAAATTTAGAATATGACAAAGGAATCCTCTAAGCTTTAAATGATAGAATTCTAAG